AGGGAGGGAAGGAGAGAGGAAGGAAGGAAGGAAGGAAGGAAGGAAGGAAGGAAGGAAGGAAGGAAGGAAGGAAGGAAGGAAGGAAGGTCCAACATATGGATAGAAGAACATAGTTATTTCCTGGCTAGAGCAGGATTTCAAAGGGAGGGGACAACAGGCGTAGCGGCCTCAGCCAGCTGCCCAAGCTCTCAGATCCCCAGGCGAGTTTCCACCGCCATTCAGACAACAAGCAACAAGCGCCCCCTGTGCAAGGCTAGGAGCCAGGACAAGGGAGGCCAACAGAAGTTGATAGTGGCCCAGCTCCTCTCTCTAGGCCACTGGTTAGGTAGGGACCCCTCCGGCCACTATGTGGGCAGGACCCAAGTTTACAGGGCTGGGAACTCCAAATCTCAAGGCTCCGGGGGTAGGACCCAAGCGCTCAGGACTCCACCAGACCCCTATCTGACCAGATCCTCCTACAGGTGACCGACAAATGCAGCCAGGAGCTATCAGACTTTGGTCAAATCCTGGCTCTGATGCTTCCTAGCAATGTGAGTTACCAAACACCCCTGGGCAAGTTACCAAGTCAGCCTGTGCCTCTGTTTACTCACCTGTGAAAAGGGCATAATAAGAGCTGACCTTCCTTCCTTGGGCTGTTCCAAAAGCGGAATCAGTTAATGCAGTTTAAGAGTGGTTAGAACAAAGTCCGGCACATCAGCTGTTATATTAGAGCTATACCCCTCCCCTGCTGCCTCTGACAATCCTTCACAGCACAAGCCCCCCTGGAGAGACCCCAGCCCATCAAGTGGGGAGTGTGCACACTCAACACCTACAAGAGCCTCGCATTCGGAGCCTAAGGGGGAAGAGAGGAGATGGCAGACTGCATGCCCCTCCCACTCCACACCCAGGCTCTGCTGCCAGCTGGAGACCCAGGGGCCTTCCCCTCCCTCCCGCCTCCCTCCTCCCACCTCCCTGGCGATTGCTTCTGCACACACTCAGCTATTTATAGCCTCTGGCAACACTCCAACCACAAGGCTGTCTCCGCCTTTTAATAGACACAGGGCTCCAGCCCACACTCACTGAGCCAAGCACCCAAGCACAGGGGGCTCCCCCTGACCTCCAGCCCCCTTGCCTAGCCCGCAGGTGAGGAAGCTGTACTCCTGAGAAAGGGGTGCCTGCCCCCCAGACACCTGGGCAAGGGGCTCACTGTATCCCTAAGCCACAGCCAACACAACTGCTGGCCTCTAAAGGAACCAGGTATACAAGTGGCTGTGTCCCCACAGGCAGTCCCTGTGTTCCAAGGGGCCTGCCTACACCTTGGAGAAAAGAAGCCCCATGCTTCCCAAACCCTCAGTCCAACCAGGACAGAAAAACCCCACTCATGAACACATACTGCGACCACCAACAGCCCCCCCCCCACCAAAACAAAACAAAAACCCAGAATACACGCAGATTCCACTCTAAACCAAAAATCCAGGGAGCTGGACCTAAACAGACCAGTTGACGCACGAGGACAAGAGCTGGGAGGTCTGTTTTCCCCAGCCCAGTGACTTTGGTCCCACCCCACTACGCACTGGGGAAGAAAGGGAGAAATCCTACCAGGGTCCTGCCTGTGAGGGACGCAAAGCACAACAGGGAGATAGAAGAGTGACGGATGATGGGTAAGTGAGGGAGATTAAAGCAGAGCCTTGGTGGAAGGATTTGAAGCTGGAATAGCCATGCCTCCCGTGGGGTTCCCTAAGCTCTGGACTTGGGGTGTGTCCAGAGTAGCCAGTATCTCCCAGCACCCCAGCAGCCAGCAGGCCGCTATATTCTACCCTTGGCTCCTAGAGAGCCCCACAGGGAGCGGGTGCCCAGCCCCGCCCATGTGGGCATCGCAGTGTGGCGAGAAAGGGATGGTGCCCACCACCATGTCCACCTCAGGCCCCTTCCGCCAATACGGCGAGGCGCGCCCTCCCAGAAGCCTCCAAGCCTGAGAGGCGGCCAAGTTAAAACAACTAGGGAAGCCCAGTGTCTGCCCAGAGAGGAAAGGCGCCGTGTCGTCCCCCCCCTCCCCGGCACCGTCCCTCCCCCCCCACCGCAGATAACTGCCAGGCTCTCCTCCTGGGAGGCTGCTGCCTTAGGCTCCCTTCCCTGTCCCCTTCGGAAGGCAGCCCTGCAGTTTGCTGAGCACCTGCTGCCCCAGCAGGTTACCTGGAGCCAAGGAGGGACTGGAGACCTCAAGGTTAGAGCTTCCAGTAACGGTATCTGGTATCCACGTTCATGACGCCACTCCCCCAAGCCATACAACAGCATCTTCACCAACTTCTCCACAACCAGAGTAAGATGGCTGG